CATGAACATAGCCTGGAGAAAGCAGGGTAGACTTGGAAGGATCGGTGGGGCCATTTGCTCTGTCCCCCTGCCTCCAAGCATGCGGGGCAGTGCCAAGAACCCGTGGACAGTCTTTCTTTCTTGAGCCCTCCTGAGGGGGAGCGTGACCTCGGGTCACTGCCTGGGGAAGGTGTCTAAGGCCCGGAGCAGCAGTTCTCAGCATGTGAGTTAAGACCCCTTTGGGGATCGAATGACCCTTTCATAGGGGTCGCCCGATTTATAACAGTAGCAAAATGATTTATGAAGTAGCAACGAAAATAATGTTACGGCTTGGGGGTCACCACCACAGGAGGAAATGTATGAAAGGGTCGGGGCGTTAGGAAGGCTGAGATCCACCGTCCTAGAGTGTGTGGTCCCGGGAGCAATAGCAGAGCCTTGAGCAGGGCTCCTGGGTGGCCTGGGGCTGAGGTGGGCTTGAAGGAGGCCAGGAAGGGGGCCAGTAGGTGGGAAGGAAGAGGGCCTGCTGGAGTCGGTGGCTCCTTCAGAGCCAGAGCCTGGCAAGCTCTCTCCCTTTGGGGTCAGCCGACGAGGAGCCAGTCCACTCAGACCCTCAGCCAGGATCGAATCCGAGGAAGGGGCCCATCCCCATCGCCTCCGCCTTCACTGCCCTCTAGGTCTCCCCTCATTCTGCTTGACCTTCCAGCTGTCAAGGACGAGCAGCCACAGGAGAGGTCCACTGCCAACCAGACCCTGGCCGAGGGCATCACCGAGCAGGCCAACCTCAGTGTCAGTGCTGCCCGGTCCTCCAAAGTCCTCTACGTCATCACCACCAGCCCCAGCCACCCGCCACAGACGGTCCCAGGTAGCTCCTCGGACCCTAGCGGTGCCGGGTGGGAACCTAAGAACCTGGATGCTGAAGTCTTGGTAGTTACAGAAAGAGGGTTGGAGAGATGGGGGAGAGTGGGGGGAGCATGGTTTCCTCTTTCAGAGGGACATTGGAGATACTGTCCCCTGGGGCTTGTAGCTTGTCCTGGTCTTTGAAGGACGTGTTCTCAGCTTTTAAGAGAAAGGGCTCACCTCCAATTGTGCCTTTTGCACTGTTTGTGAATCTGGCATTGCCCACCTTGGGCTATATTTCTACATGCCACCTTGCAACTCCCTAAGGCCATTAGTATTTGCAAGAGATCCACTCACCCATCCTTCCATCCAATCTTCCATCCACCCATCGTTGCATCTAACTTTCCATCCATCCATCCATCCTTCCTTCCTTCCTTCCATCCATCCATCCATCCATCCATCCATCCATCCATCCATCCATCCTTCCATCCATCCATTTATTCAACCTTTTATCCATCCACCCACCCTTCCTTCTATCCATTCATCCATCCATCCACCCACTCAACCAACCAACCAACCGCCCATTCAGCCTTCCATCCCTCCCAAAGACACTGAAGAGCTTCCATAGGGCCAGGCACCCTCTTGATCTAGGACAATACAGTGAACTAAACAAAATCCCCACCTGCCCATGGCTTAATGTTCTAAGTGGGAGGAGAAAGGCAAGAAGTGAAAGGAGCCAATCAGCTATCCCTAAGAGCTCTGGAAAAGAGCAGGGCAGGAAGGGGAAGAGGGGGTGGGGGCTGTGGCTTGAGCCCACTACCCGGGTGAGTATATGCTTCCAGTCCCTCTTTTCTGACAAGAAGGGGGAAGCCTTTCTGAGCTGGGGGGGCTTGAGAGGGTCCCTAGCAAGGACCTAGTCTGGGGCCTGTCCGTCTGTTCTCGGGCTTCCTGTAGGCCAGTGAGGGCAGCCCAGGGCCACCGAAATGACCCAGGAGGTTGCAACAGCAGATCCCTACCCTTTCTCTTGGCTGATTGGCTACAATACAAATGTTTTTCATGGCCACAGGGGCACTGGGTCTTTTTTTTTCTTTCTTAAAGTAGGTGGTTGGCCGAATCCGCTTGGGCAGCTGTGCCCTGAGTCATTTGTTTGTTCCTGCCGGGATGGCTTCACAGGCCACACATCTCGGGCCTCACCTGAGCTTGCATGGGATCCCAGTGGGAGGAGACACTCGGAGCCCAGCGTGCTTTAGACACTGCCCTCCACCCCTGCTGCCTGCCTGCCTTGTCTCTCTCCCAGAGTGGGCTCAAGAGCAAAGCCGGGTGCTTTGGGGGCCTGAGGCAGCCCAGTCAGCCAGGCTTTCACGGGATCCCCACCAACAGAGGGCCCCCCCACACCTTGCCATGCCCCAGGCCTGTGCCCCTGCGCCAGCCCACACACCTGTCCTTTGCACTTGCAGGATGGACTGTGTACGGCCTGGCCACGCTCCTCATCCTCACGGTCACAGCCATCATCGCCAAGGTACTTCTACACGTCACGCTCAGGTGAGGATGGATGAGTGAGGCCGCCCAACCTGGTGAGGAGCCTCTGTATCCCCTTCCACTCGGTCTCACGTGTCTGCTGGGGGCCGTCAGACCGGGCCCTCGGAGGTCTTGCTCAGTCATGGGCAGCGGTCAGAGGGCTGGTGCCTGCCCCTGTGTCTGCAGGGTGTGGCTCCCTCGGGGACTGGGGTGGTCTGGGCATGAAGAGTGGCGCCGCTGGCCCTGCAGTGAGCTCTCTATGCCTGAGCACAGCTCCCCAGGACACACAGTCTCTTCGGAGTCCTCGACCTGGGGGCAGCACGCGCATGTGCGTGGAGGTGGCTGTGCAGACAGCTAGCACGCAGCTGCCAACCAAAAGGCTGGCGTGCAGGTTCGCCCAGAGACACTTGGTCAAAGGTTGGGGCACCGACCTCTGCAGAGTCAGCCCCGAACCCCCTTGGGGATGCCTTCTGCTCTGACACCGGGCCCCCGGGAGCTGGAGCCGCCACGGTAGCAACTCGCTACTGGCTTTTCTTCCCCCCAGACCTTGGGAGGAGGTCACAGACAGAGGATACTGGGATTTCTCTCGCTGACCAATCAGAACCCTTATTTCAGAAGCTATCAAAGCTTCATCCCTCAAGGAAGGCTAATGGGAAAGAAAATGAAACCCACTTCTGTCCCTTCATTTGCTGCTCACTCAGCACAGACCCCCCCTCCCGGGAAAGGGGCCCCGGCTGCTGCTATTGAGATTGGGCTTGGGTCCTTTTCAGCTTTTCTGGGCTCCTATCTGTCTTTCCTGGGGTTCCCAGTCCAGGCAGTCTCCACCCATGCTCAGGCACCACCCCCACCCCCAACGAGAATGGCAGCCACGGCCCCTCTTTCCCATCTTTGCAGCCTGCCACCCACCCAGGCTTCTCCACCCTCAGCTTTACATTACTCAGCGGAGACAATGTCATTATTATCGCCGACTGAACTCTCGCGCATGCCTTTCGTCCATGTTTTTTTAAAAGACCACAAATGCCCCATTCTGGGGCTGCCTCTCTGGCCGTCCCCCGCACCCAGAGAGTGGGCCACCTGGGGGCCCTGGCACTCACAGCGTAGCGCCCACCTCAGCCTGACCTCCTCTCCTCGGCAGTACCTCTCCCGCTGCCCTGAGGCTGGGGTGGGGTGAGGTGGGCCGGTCTGCAGGCCCCCCCTTCAGAGCAGAACAGAGCAGGTAGGTAGCCTTGCAGACTAGCACGTCATTCGAAGAAACCATTTGCTGCTTAAGGAAAAGAACTTAAAAACTATAACTCTGCCTGCTGGAAAGTTCTGGCTGTACGAAGCTGGCCTGGGCTGGCAGTGGCTCCCGGGGATGGGCTGTCCCTCGGCCTCGCCTCGCTCCACCCCGTGGTGGCCCCTTCCTAGAACCAGGTATCTGATGAGCTGCCAGTGCTCGTGCTCCTCCGCTCCGGGCTTTTCTTCCCCGCAGACACTGAGGAGGCTGCAGGCAGGGGATTCTGGGATTTCTCTCTTGCTGACCCTCAGCCCTGTTCTGTTTGGCAGGTCCCATCGCATTCCTGCCTCCGGGGACCTTCGGGATTGCCACCAACCAGGGACTTCCGGGGAGATCTGGAGCATTTTTTACAAGCCTTCTACTTCCATCTCCATCTTTAAGAAGAAGCTCAAGGGGCAGAGTCCACAGGATGACCGCAGCCCCCTCGTGAGCGACTAAAGCCTGGCCAAGCACCGAGGACGCCCAGCTGTGGGGCAGAGAGCTCCCGGGCTCTCCAGACTGACGCCCTGGCCCCTCCGGGCCAACATCCTGCAGCTGGGAGGGCTCTCACTTAGGAGCAATGGGTCGGGCTCACCCTGCCCCACAACCACAGCGCCCCCTCGCCCAGCCCCACTGCCTCTACCCCTCCACCTCCTGCCCTGGGACCCAGGGGCCTGGACTCAGGCGCCTGCTAGATGGCCACCCACTGGGGAGTGGGCATGGGGTGCAAGGGTGGGATGGGCTAACTCTTCCTTGTTTCTTGTCCACCTTCCTGATCGTGACCTTTGGAGCAGGGTCAGACAGGGAGAGAAAGCTTGCGGCCTCTGAAAGGTTGGCCACACGCTGGGCATCAGCACTTCCAGAGTGTACGGAGCTCAGAGCTCGCCCGGCTGACTCCGGCCGAGAAAGGGGTGTGGAGACAACTTTGTTTCCGTAACTCACGACCAGCAGAGCAAGCTTGAGCGGTCACGTACACACGCTGATTCTGTTGCTGCAATGGACCATTCTAGAAGTAGCTGTTGGCACCCAGTCAGCGCTGCTCGTGCGTGCGTGCTGGTGGGCCTCAGGGCCAGGTCCTGGCCCACCCCACATCCCACCTGCGCCCCCCACCCCAGGAACCCCAGAGCCTACATGCCTGCTCCACTGACTGCAGGTTCAAGAAGGTAGAAAGCCCCTGAAGCTGTCTCCTGTGGGCCTGGAAGTCTTGGGCGTGGGAGGGCTGGTGCAGGGGGAGCACCTAAAATGGAAGGCACCAACTGGAGTGGGGGCCGGCAGCCCTCATCTGGGCCTCAGAGCATTTGTCAGCAGCAGCTGCACGAGCAGCAGGCTGGGCCACTGGGCCGAGCGCCGCCCTCCCCAAGGCTTTGGGCTCAGGCCTTGTTGAAGGCCAACGCTGCCTCCCCCAGTCACTGCTGGCCACAGCCCTTCCCCAGGCTCGGCCCCGCCAGCAAGGCTCCTGTGCCCGGCCACGCCCGGAGGTCGGTGGGCAGATGGCCAGCAGCAGCCTGAGTCCAGGGGGTGCTCAAAGCTGGCAGACAGAAGCGCCAGAGGAGGGTGGGATGTTCCAGGCGCCATGGGGACGGCACAGCTGCCTGGCACTGTCCTCCCGCTTTGATCTAGAAAGGACAAGTGTCCGGGAGCAGCTGCTGCCCACAGGCCCTGGTGCTGAGGGCCCTGGCCGTGGACGGCATGTCTGTCTCCCCTGCTCCCCCAGCTTTTATGGCCCCTCCTGGGTGACCCAGGTGCCAGGTGGGGTTCATAGAAGGCACCATGCAGGGGGAGCCCCGGCAGCAGCACAGAGGGGAGGACTCTAGCAAGGGAGCAGGAAGGGCTTATCTAACGAGAGGGGCTCAGCTCCCGGGCACCACGCTTGCCCGCCAGCCTCCACCTCATGCCTCAGGCTCTGAGCTGGGCACTTCTGAAAGCCTGCGACGGAGCTGCCTTCACCAGAATGACTGCTGTGGTGCCCAGCTGCCTCCCCCTGACCCCAGTGCAGCCCTGGGCAACCCCTGCCCAACTGGCTACAGTGCAGGGAAAATCCCAAACCAAACCCACTGCCAGCGTGTCGGTTCCGGCTCTCAGAGCCCTGCAGGGCAGGGCAGCTCTGCCCCTGTGGGGTCCTGAGGCTGGAAATCTTTACAAGGGCAGACAGCCCCATCCTTCTCCCTCGGAGTGGCTGGTGAAGTCCAACTGCTGACCTTGGAGTTGGCAGCCCAGCGAGGAACCGACCCGGTCTCCAGGGCTTCACGGTGTGGGGGGGAGGGCTGTAAATTGTCCCTGGATGGGCGTTCATGCTTCAGGCTGGGGCTGGGCTAGAGGCAGTCCTCCCCACCCACAGAGGACTCCACACAGAGGAAGCACCGGAGACACAGGGCCTGACAGGAAGAGACCACTTGCAGGGGAAGATGTTGGGGCCAGAGGTGGTGGGGAAGGGGTGGCCCTGGGGGAGGGCTGAAAACATGGCAGATCTACCCGAGGTCCAGGGAGTGAGGTCCCTGTGGATGGGCAGCCTGAGACTCAAGTCAAGGCCAGGCCTGGGGACCACACCCTGCAGAGCAGCTGATGAGAGGACAGAGGGGCCGTTTACTGATGGGGCCTCTGTGCCCAAAGCCACCTACAGGGCTCAGACCTGCCTCAGCCAGTGTCCCCCAAAGCCACCGCCACTGGTGGTACTGATGTGAGGGGACTGACTCCCCAGCATCCTAGCAGTGACCCGCCCCAGTACTCCTCCGTTTGTCACATGCAAAGCAATGACTAGTAGGAGTGAGCCCCTCTGTCCCCCCAACACACACACTCCAGAGAGAGCAGTCTGAGGACTGCAGGTGGAAGCCGGGTACCTGGGTGCTGACGCTTCTGAGCTGTGGGCTGGCCCAGGACCCCAACCAGCCCAGGACCCACAAAGATGACCGTGCCCTGAGTGTGGCGTCTACCCACACTCAGCGCCCAGTCAGGAGTCAGCTTGGCCAGGCCTTCTCCAAGCCCCACGAGCCTGGGCCACAGTGCACTTAACTCTTCTGAGCACTTAGACGTGGATGGCATAGAATGACCACTAAGTAATGCCAGAAGTAAACTCCACCCCCCACCCCGTGGAAATGGACAGCCTGGAAGCTCCGCCCCTCCCTCCTGGTCCCACCCCCAGCGGGGCCTGCCACCCTGTGACCGCCCTCCGCCCATTTGGTGTCTGCTTCGGGTCTTGTCCTGGGCATTGTTCACCTTGTGACAGTGTCCTCTGGTGTCTTGTTCACTCTCCTCACTGTTCTACCTCCTGGCCAAGTCTCTCAGCTTAGCTGCCCTGGTGTGGAGTGTTCGAGAACTGTCCGCCCGCAGTCCCTCCCCTCAGGCAGGACGGCTGATGGGGACGGTGCTGGCCTCGGCCTCTAACCGCAGGCCCCTTGCACAGCCCCTGTCTTGCCCAGTTAGCATGGGGGAGACTCGGAGGTAACCCTCCCCAGAAAGGAAGTAACGTCGAGGCACCTGCTGGGGCCACCCCCCCCTGCAGTACCAGGACACCCCCCCCCATCACTCGCCTTTTTTCAAGGACCCCAACTCTGGGCAACAGACCCTATCTGTAAATATGTTCTCAACACAGAACTTGGAGAATCAAATAGGAACAGCTTGTATTTTAAAACGACAAGATGATGTGTGTGACGCACTGTATACAATTTAATATATATTTTTAGGATTCTGTTATTTAAGAAAATGGAATGTAATGGTACTTAACTTTTACAAAAGAGAAGAAAATGTTATTTTTACTGTCTGGAGAAAAAAATAAACATTCTCATTATTGTAGAAACTGCGTTGAGGCTCTGTGGGCGCTTCGATGGAGGGACCCTAGCGTGGCCATGAGCCCTTGTGCTCCCCTCCCCTCTCAGTCTCCACTCCCTGGTTCTTCAGTAGCAGCCCTGTGGGGTCTTGCCCTGGCCTTGACCTGCATTTGCTCTTTGCTGGCGAGACCTGGGCAGGGTGACATGCCAAACGAGCCCACCACCATAGGGGGCAGGGGAGGGCAGTGGCTAGGCTGTCAGAAAGACCACCCCCCAGCCCCAGCTTGCTCACCTGGGAAAGCTCACATGACCCTACCTGCACCCCAGAGAGCTTGTGAAGACAACAGGAGGGAGTGGTGGTTTTGAGTTCAGGCGGGATTCACCTTGCCCTCAGAACAACACTGCCCTCCCACCTCTCCTCCAACTGCCCCCTTCCAGCCCCAGTAGATGCTCCATGTAAGAGTGGCCACCTGTGTTCAGCACCATCGAGAGCCTGCACGTGCTTGCAACGCTTGGCGAGGGCACGGGTGTCCCGGGGCTGTGCAAACCCAGGTTGGGAGGCTTACATCCACCCAGAGATACCTTGTAAGAAAGTCCTCCAAATCACCTATCTTCCTCTAGAACACCACAGAGCTCTGTGGACCAGGGTCCCACTGGGGCACGTGTGGGCTCGCCTGGACCAGAGGCCACTGGATGGCAGGCAGCTGGGTTGGTTTCGACTTTGCCGAAGAGGACCCTGTGGCTCAGGGCCGAGGCCAGGCAGTAGTGGAGACCACGGTGCTGTGGCCAGCTTGCCAGACTTCAGAGCCCACTGCTCAGGAGCCCCGGGCAGGAAAGGGAGGAAGGACAGGGGTGACAGTTCAGAAAGAGTGTGCAGCCTGCATTGTGAAAAGTGGATCATACGAACTTGAATGTCAGGATATGCTGAGGAAGCCCTGCCCAGGCCGGTGGTGGGGGGTGGGGGGGAATGAGGGCGAGAGACTGGCCATGTCCATCTGCCAGGATGGGCCCAGGGCCAATGCCACTACTTAGGATGTGACCATGGGCCAGTATCGAGCCCACATGCCTCTTTTACCTTGTAAAACGGGGTTCGGGCGCCCCAGTCATGCAGTGGTTCAAATCCACCATCCACTCCTCCGGAGAAAGATGTGGGGGCTGGCTGCCCCCACCAAGACTGACAGCCTTGGAAGCCCTGGGGGCCAGTTCTGTGTCCTGCGGGCTCTAAAACCGACCCCAGGGTGACATGTTTTGGTTTTCTGGTGTATGGTGAGGGGATGAGAGTGACTACCTCCTACTTGTGATCCGTCATCCGTGAGATGTTACCTCCTCCATTACAGAATGGATGGCAGGGGTTAAGGATGAGTGCAGCATGGTGCTCAGGTGTGGGGCCCAGGTGGAGAGAGGTACCGTTCTCTGAGGACACCTGAGGAAGGCTGTAAATTGTCCCTGGATGGGCGTTCATGCTTCAGGCTGGGGCTGGGCTAGAGGCAGTCCTCCCCACCCACAGAGGACTCCACACAGAGGAAGCACCGGAGACACAGGGCCTGACAGGAAGAGACCACTTGCAGGGGAAGATGTTGGGGCCAGAGGTGGTGGGGAAGGGGTGGCCCTGGGGGAGGGCTGAAAACATGGCAGATCTACCCGAGGTCCAGGGAGTGAGGTCCCTGTGGATGGGCAGCCTGAGACTCAAGTCAAGGCCAGGCCTGGGGACCACACCCATGGGACATCCTCCAATGTGATCCCGGGGGGCTGCTGGCAGCAGTGTCAGGACAGCCGGGGCAAAAGAGGAGGCGCTAGGGCAGGACAACCAGGGTGGGGCAGGGCAACTCAGAGACACTGGTCCCAAGACCAGGGCTCCTCCAGGCCAAGCCTCTGAGCAGCTGTTTTAGCACACCCTGCTGGCTCCGAGTCTCAGCCCCACGCTCTCACTGCCGAGCAAGGTCTCCCGGGTCCAGCCGGTTCATTGTTCGAGTGTGGGACTTTCGAATGGCCTCACGGGTGACACAAGTGGTCTGTGTTCATCTACTAACCTAAAGGTTGGCGGTTCGAACCCACCCACAGGTACCATGGGGGGAAGGCCTCCTTCAGGATGGCAACCCAGAAAGGCCCCTGAAGCAGTTCCACTGGGCCATGCGTGGGGTCGCCATATGTCAGGGTCCACTCCACGGCCACGGGGCGAAGGGCTTGTTTGTTTTAGGGTTCTAGGAGAGGAGGCCCGGGCAACAAACGAATACCACCACCAGCCCTGCTAGATGGCTGAGCGCAGAGTGCTCTCAGAGACGATTGCTCAAGCCTGGAACCCCAACTAACCCCGGGGTCATCCCCCTGGTGGCTAACTAAGAGATTGGCTCACAAAAGAACGAGCGCCACCTCTCGGAACCTCCTTTAAAAATCACCAGGTGACTCCAGCCCTCAGCCAGGCGGTCACAGCGAGGCGAGTGTGGCGCAGCATGGAGGTCAGGAGATGGCCCTGCCTGGTGCAGCGCATGCACCATCTCCCCAAGGCCAGGCGCCATCTGGTGTCTTGGCTGCGGCTTCCATGGTGCTGATGGTGGGACATGGAACTAACTCCCTGACAGCGACCTCACTCTCTCCCTTGACTGGTCCAGCCGCTGGGTGGGAGTTTAGGTTTTCCTCCCGCTGAGGTGGCATCCAGGCTGACGGTGATCTTCAACAGCCAGGGCGTCAAGTCCTCTCTGAGACTGCTGAGCAACTTCATGCAGCCGCAAAGCCTGTCTCTTTGCCGAGGCCCCTTACAGAAGAGGCATGGGGAAGGTGGGGGGACAGCAGCTGGGCCCTGCTGCCTCTTGGGAAGGGCCATTTCTCTGAAGCAAACGTTGGGCAGCGTCGTGCTCACTGCCACCTTCGCCCAACACGGTGTTGTCATTGTTGGTTGGCATTGTGCGGATTCTGACTCAAAACGGCCCTGCGTGGACTCTCCATGGGGTGGACCAGGCCTGTTAGACCTTTCCGAAGCAGATCGCCAGGTGTGTTGTCCACGGCATCTCTGAGCGGCTCAGAACCACCAACCTTCTGGTTAGTAGTGGAGCACTTACCCGTTCCTACCACTCGGGGCCTCCTCGCCCAACCGTGAGGGCATCGGGCTGGCCGGCTCCTCCCGGGCGGCAGCTTCCTTCCTCCGGTGTTGACCTTCTCGGGGTTTGCCTTCTCCTTCCCAGCAGCGCTCTCCTTCCATGAAGGAAAATGTTTTTAGTGGCAGGAAATGGCTGGTGGAAAACAAGTGGGTGGCCTTGCGGGTACATTTCTTAGACACAATTGTGCAACAGAAAAATAATCGGCACAGCC